ATTTAACGGTATAGAAGCAGAAAATACTCCGTTACTAACAGTAGTAGTACCTGCAGGAGACCATCCCCAAACTTTTGCACATTTGGATTCATTTTCATTTAATGAAAGATAAGATTTTATTGTTGTAGTAATTCCTGCATTTTTGACTCTATCTATTTCTACTCCGTTTAATTCATATCTAATGTCTTGAAATAAAAATAATGCTGGGTTATTCACAAAATGCACACTCGACATTCTTTCTTTTACTTTAGTAGTGCTGTTATACTTATACACGTCGGCTTTTCCCTCAATATACAAAGTGCTGAGTGCGGTAACACATACAAGTCTTGCTGATTAATCGGTATCCGTATTTAATCATTCTTGTTGAAACTTGTCACGTATGGTTTGTACGAATGATATTCAAAACTTTCGATGCTGTTGTCGTAAGACGCCGGTTGAGTAATATTAAGAATATTCATTTTAATAAACCTATTAGCTTCAAAAAATCTTTATTGCTTTTGGTTAATTTCTTTCTTAACTTAAGCGATGCTTCTCTGTGAGGGGTTCTTTTAGAACTAACTATAACAGTTGGCGCAGGAAGGTTTTTATTGAAATTTAACATTTTTTAAAATGTAGGTATAACTGCACTTCTTCACCACGTAAGTTGACTTCTTTGTTCTCCGCGTCTAATAATCTTATATTTATTGCACTTATGGAACTTTGATTGGTGGGAAAATAAATTAAGTTTTTAGGTATTTCAATTATTCTGTAACCTGGTGGTACATTAGGTACAAATTCATAGATTATGTGACTTGCTTTGCCGTTCACAAATGATCCGCTAATAACATCGCATTCGATGCGCACGATAGTTGTTGATAAAATGCTGACAGGATACCGAGACTCGGTCCTTTTATTAGCCTTCACTGTTTCCATACCAAAGCCTAAAATTTTACCAATTGAATCATTTTTATCAAAATGAACATCTTCAGAACAGAAAATGCTTGTTTTTAAAGTGTTGTTATTGCATGTTAGTTTCAATGTTGCATTTTTATGTTACTTTTCAGAAAATCACAAATATCTTGAAGTTCATACGATCCTTCAGGTATTTCGATAACTCTATTTTCGCCATAATAAAATTTATTATATCTATTCTAATATCTATATATATTACATTAGGGATGGAATTAAACGAAGAAAAGTGTAATAGCCCACTCATAATTTCCACGTAATTGTAAAGTTGGGGAGTAGTTTGTCAATAAAGACTCTCCTCTGCCAGTTATTGACACAGTGAAAGACATTTTTGTACTAATCAATATTTTTATTACATTTTGAATAGAAATGCTTTTTCCAATAGTCTCTCAAAAACTTTAAACAAAGATGGCCACAGTTTATACTACCAAATACTTGGTGCTGTGTAATTATAATTTAATGTTACGAGTCTTAAATAATTAATCAATTCCAAAGGTGGTTTTAAATTACCAAAACTATCAAAATATTCGCAATAGTCATTTTGCTTAACATAGGCTACCCAATGTGTTTCAGGATTATCGGAACTATCTAAATTTAGTATTGCACAGATACCTGCTTCATATAATTCCTCAATTATTGATATGATCTCATTATCTAAGCCAGTATTGCCTGCGTCGCGCGAAGCGTAAAGTAGTTTTAATCGTTCCACTAATTCATTTGGATCGTCCCAGTATATAAAATCAGTATTACTTTTAAGTTTTTTTAAGAGTTTTACACCTTTTCCTTGAGTTAGACTTTCTTGACTAGTAGTTGTATTTCTAGAGAACTTGAATAATGGTTTGATGATCTTCATATATTTAAAACCATTATTGCTGTTAATTGGTTTGGATGGATCACAGTTACGCTTGTGAGCATTAGTCTTCATTAATAAGAATTTGTAATTTTGTAAATCCTCATCGGTGACAACATTTAAATCAGGATTCCTTTTGAATAATAATTCAGTCAATCCTACAGTTTTGCTGAATTTTTGATTACCAATATCTAAATTTTTGCCATCGTCATGTACACGGGTTTTACCGAGCATAAGTTTACCTCTTTCATGTCTAATTCCAAATGGTATGTCAGGCATTACTTCCGATGATGTAGACCATGACAATGAGTAGTTTTTTACACTTGGTGAAGATTGTAAGGATTTAAATCAATTCGCACTCAAATCATGATCTTCACTTGGTGATGTAGTGTTTTGTTCGAAAATGTGTTTTCATGGACTTCTGATTCTTCATTGTTTGAATCGGTGTTTGAATCAGCCGAATCGTCACTTGAAGAGTACGAGGATTCATTGTCATCAATTTTGTTTTTTTTTCAATACGGGCTTATAGTCAATTTCTGTTTTATGCTGATTTCCATCATTCTTATTAACTATCACATTTAGCGGATCAACAATAGGTTTAAATAATGTCTCCAATGCCATATTATTTGTGTTTTTTGCATCTTTTATTAATTCAAGTTTTCTTTTTACAGCTTCTGCAGACTTTACAATTTCTTGTTTTAAATCTTTTTCCATCTTCATAGGTTTGCCTTGCTCCGAATCGGGTAAGCAAATGATTTATTAATACTACTACAAAGTATTATGTATGTTAGTCCAATACTATAAATGTATCAAATGCCATTCGATAACATCCATTATTTTTATCACAGTCCTTATTGATTACTAGATAACTGAAAGGTTTATTCCAAACAGCTGAACACATTTCGCGAAACTGGGGCCATGGCATATCTGATCCCACATGTTCATCATAAACATGTTTCAAATTGATATCATCTTGTTTAAATAATATAATAAGGTTTGAATTATCCCTTATGAGCTGTTTAGGTATTTTAGTATACGTTTGATTTATATAAAAGCAATCAATTTTCTTATGACGTCCCATAGCAAAATAATCTCTGATGTTGTTTTGATTTTCACAAGCAACGTCGTCGAAAATGATTATGGAATCTGTTAAAGCATCATGTGGGCTCAAAATTTCGGTATTATGGTTATATTTATAAAATGATGTTCCAGGTACTATATCTAAAACTTTTTCTAGATACAGGTATTTAGCTTGATATAATGATTTAGAATACACATAAAGGTTTCCGAAACGTGGTCCATTCGTATGTAACAATAAACTTATTACTAAATTGGTTTTCCCACAGTTTGATGGACCACAAACAATACAACGTATTGTATTAGGTAATAAGTTACCATGTCGTTTTTGCGCGTTACTTGTTGCAGGACAGATACATTCTAATTTTAATGATTCTTTTTGTTTGACAAAAATCATAATTGCAGACTAAATTGACCTCTGCGTATCATGGGTATCACATAAATGACATTCAGTTGTGTTGCTGGTGTATATAAACGTACACCGCCAATAACAAATCGAAAAAAATGAAGTGGGAATTCTAGCTCACAAAATTGCGTTCAACGTCGGGTGGAGTGCACAGTTGTGTTGCTGGTGTATATAAACGTACACCGCCAATAACAAATCGAAAAAAATGAAGTGGGAATTCTAGCTCACAAAATTGCGTTCAACGTCGGGCGGAGTGCAACGAAGCAACGACGTAGCGAGCTGCGCGAGCTTTAAGAACGCAATTTTGTGAGCTAGAATGCCCAATTCATTTACTACTTACACGGACGGACGTTATGTATGTTTACGAATGGTATGTATAACTAGACGGAGTATACACGACTAACTGGTAGTTGGCTTAGTTAGCATTTTTTAAAGTACGATGTAAGAACGGCTATCTGCAAAATCACGTAAATTTTCAAGAAATTAGCTAAAGTAGCTTAATATACAAATATATAAGGATATAAATAGATTATAATAAAATTTTCACTATTGATACTCATTACAAAAATAACACACATGTTCGATCTTTTCGCTCTCCTGTAAAAATGCTATTTTGCAGATGTCTGTTTTTGCTTACCATGGAATTGGGTATTTCTGAAATGCTAAATATAGTTATCAAATAGTGACAATTCTATTAGAAAAAAACTATATTTAGACATAGTTTGGTGAGTATGCTAGATAGGCGAAAGTTACGTAACTTCTGTTTGGGAAATCTATGTATGGTATAACTATAATTTATATTTCAAATAATAGTTCCCAAATAGTGTCTAAATAGAAAATCCGATACTTTAATATTTACAGATATGAAATGTAATGTTTATAGTGAGGACTCTAAGCGCAGGAAGCGACACCTGGCTTGCTGTCCGATATTCAACATGTGGTATGGTAGGTCTTAAATCAAAGCACGTGTCCTTACCTAGATAAGTATGTTAACAAAGTCCCAGTAGGTAACAAAAACATGGGCATAATTAATTATTATATTATCCCTCTATAAACGCTGTTTAACGTCATTAGTATTATAAAAAAAAACTTCGAAACACTCCAAAAATTCACAAATTTTTTTGGTCATAAAGTATGTAGGTGTGGGTGTGTATGTTTGTTACTTCTTCACGTCTAAACGGCTGGAGCGATTTTAATCAATTTGGTATGGATTCACCCTAGATTAACACATAAGCTACGTGCTACTGCGGGAAAATATCCGTATTATACCGCGGGGCACAGCTAGTTATTTATAATACATAGCTGCTAGCCTGGTAGTAGACAAGCAAAAACGCTGCGGGCAGTACAGTAGCATATCTATAAGCGAGCTGAACTTGACCCTTTTTTTGTAAGCGCTGACAGGAAGTATTTTTATCATTCAATATGCAATACACAGCTGCCTATAACATCCGTCTCGTGATATTAATACATCAAAATATTACTTGAGATTGAAAACACTAACAATTTACATTACACTTTTATTGTCAACGTTTAATTGCAATTTTTTGCAACACATTGGAATCAGCGCAATCCGGATGAATAACGAAACATCTTCGGCTATGCTTCCGAGATCTTTTTAGATATTTTGTTAACATACCTAGATACTTATTTTATCTTATTACATCAACGATATTAAATACCTATACCCTATTTACCTACCTAATTTTTAGATAGTTTTACCTGAATTGTTGCAGAATCAGTCCCATGCCCAGGATACAAAGGAAGTGTGTCGTCCATGCTTCTAAAATGATATAAAAATTTAAGATAAGTAGGTACTCTATAATACAATATGATAGATAAATGCTACTTAAAAGTAAATATATTATTACTAGCGGGTAAATATATTACGACGGGCGGCTGAAAAGTTTAGAGCCTTAGTACCTTTGATCATTACTAAGGAGTAGCGCTGCACACCACTAATTGAGGGTAAATAATAAATAATAAAAAACAGTAAATAATATAAATGCCAAGTTTCATGTCAGTAGCATTATTACATTTTTAGTAATTGAACCTTAAACATCACCATGTCTGACTTATCAGCGCTTTCTACGAAATTGGAGTACAGAACTGTCATAAAATTCCTCACCGAAATAGGATTTGAAGAAATAAACCACCCACCCTACAGTCCAGACTTGGCCTCTAGCGATTATGTCCTTTTTTCCAATTTGAAAAAGGACCTCCGAGGACGGAGATTTTCAAGTGTCGAGGAAATGAAGGCGGCCGTAAATGAACATTTTGAAGGCAAAAACGGCGATTTTTTTTAACGGGTTAGAAGTTTTTTTTAATAAATGTAGGAAGTGCATTGAATTAGAGGGAGATTATATTGAAAAATGTTTTTGAAGTTATACTTCTTTAGGCGCGTTATGAAAAAATGATGAGAGTGAAATTTTAAGATGCGCGCGCATCACATTAAGAAAATCTACCAACAAAATAGAAATAGAATCTCTATTTAGTGGGTGCTAACAACTGCATTGTGAAGGCCTATCAAAAGTATTTATTAATCTGGAACAACGGAACCAAAGCGTGATTCAGGAGACTACAGCGCCATCTCTTGACCATTGGTGTAGTAGAACCAAAAACCACATCTTTATTTTTTGTAATAAAGTAACAGTTATAGGAATTCATATTAATAATACAAAAGTATTTATTAATCTGGAACAACGGAACCAAAGCGCGATTCAGGAGACTACAGCGCCATCTCTTGACCATTGGTGTAGTAGAACCAAAAACCACATCTTTATGTAATAAAGTAACAGTTATAGGTATTCATATTTATAATATTTATCCACATGTTTCTAGTTTGTATATTCGGAATACGTGTTTGAGTTTCATACAAGTGCAAATCACATATGTTCTAATAAATTATATTCAGTAGCGATTTTAATTGAATATTTTGATTATTTATTTATTTTTTCAAATTAAAACTGAACTTTATTGACTGTGTCCTTTTCCAGACTTTTTATTAATTTATTGTAATTAATTATTTGCATACAATTAAAAACTAATTTTAAACGATGCCAAAGAAGGATAACTTCTCACGCGCCTACATAAGTACACGCACCCATTTTTTTTTACACATTTCTATTAGCATTTTTAATACCGCTATTATGCTATATCCTGTTTTGTAGGCAAAATTTTCTTAAATTTTCTGTGCAACATTGTTCTTTTCCTTCCTTCTGAAAGTGCTTAAATGTATTAAAAAACTTCATAATTCATACTTTTACACCCTGCATTTATGTATACATTGAAGTACAAGGCCGTGGCCAGAGGTGACAATATTATTTATTAAATTATAAAGAAAAGAAACATCATACGTTTAAGCAAAGATATGTTGTGGTTTTGTAGAAGTTTCATAATCAAAGTACTCCTGAATCCAGCCTACTCGCGAGTAGGGCTACCAGATGAAAAAATCAAAAGTCCGGAGAAAAGGCATGATTTCCATTGAAAAATCCTGAGATTTCTTACAGTTCGAGATTTTTCTCTCAAACGTATTCAACAATTTTAAAAGTCGTAATATTATCGTTTATATACACTGCGGACATCGCTCATGCGTTGCAAATCGTACTCGAAGCGCGCGGGTGGACGGGGTGACACCAGTACCCCCCCTCCCCTCTCACGTACTGTCCCTCGCCACGCACTCACTCATTCAGTTCGCCTTGCGCCATTGCGAAGTTTGGACTGCGCTATTTTAAATATCACGAGCGAGAATCGGAATCGGATACGAGTTGAAAATGTCTTCAAGTACCAAGCGACCACGGTACAGCTGTACATTTACAGATGTTTTAAAAGAAAAATATCCAATTATGAAAGAAGGTAGAGAACCTAGCGAAGTATTTTGTTCAATATGTAACAATTTTTTTTCATATTTGTTTCTTAGGTTTTCACGCACATCACTCATTAAATAAAACTAGTTTTTACGGGTCAATGCACGAAACTTTATTTATTTCTTGACGTTTCGATATGAAACATAGGCGCGAAAATAAGTCTGCAGTGTGTGAACATGCATTAGGGGGACCAAGCCATTACATTAGATTTGATAAACCACAGATCCTTGCAGCTGAGCGGCGGTTCGTTCCTCGAATGATACGCGAGGCTATTGAGATTAAAAAATATCCAAATTTCAATAGGGAAGATGGTTGGTATATACCACCAGCTTGGGAATCTATTATACAGGAGATAAAATCCCAACCCCGAGCACACACTGCAAGACCATCAGATACTATTAGTTCTTTTTGTTTGCATAATTTAACATAAGAAGGAGATAGAAAGCCCCTCTTGAGTTTGTTTCACCGGTTCTTCTCAGAAAGGTCTCCCAATTTTGGAACCGGTGGTAGTTTACGGTAGTTAGGGTCAAATAAATAAACTCAAAATTACAAAAAAGAATTTAAATAAAATACTTTATTAAGTAAATTTAATAATAAATTCATACATAGACAATAAAACTTTAAAAATCGAACAATGAAATAACCGAACGCTCAATAAAAGTCTTTCGAAGGTAGCTCGACAAATTAAATAAAAGTTTAATTCTGACGACGTAGCCTGTAAAGGCTACGAAACGTCTACACGGCGTGATATCTCCATGGGTTATTGAACAGGTAAAAGTCTCATTACAAAATGTTAACTACTTGGGCGTTTCCACAGATGCAAGTAATCACGGCGCAGAAAAAATATTTCTTTTAATGATACAATTTTTTGACTGGCGAGAAGGCATTAAAACTAAACTATTGGATGTGCTGAGCACACGCGATGAAACTGCTGACACTATTACAGAGATAATTAAAACAAGCTTGCAAAAGCACGATTTGTTGACAAAATGTGTATCATTTACAGCAGACAACGCTAATGTTAATTTTGGCGGAGTTAATCGGCAACCGGGACAAAATGTTTGGACTAATTTAAAACATATAGTCGAAAAAGATATAGTAGGAGTTGGTTGCCCAGCGCACATTCTACACAATTGTATTCAACACGGCACTGATAATCTTCATATTGATATAGAATCTGTATTAATGAAGCTGTTTAACTATTTTTCTGTATACACCGTACGCACGGAGGCGTAGAAGGATATCAGCGAGTATATAGACGTTAATTATCAGAAACTTTTGTTTCATAGCAAGACACGATGGCTTAGTCTCTTTCCAGCGATCGAAAGAATACTGAAGATGTATGAACCGTTGAAGCTGTACTTCTTGTCTACTCCTGGTGTACCAATAACTTTTAAGAACTTTTTTCAAAATGAACTCAGCGAAGTTTATTATTTTTCGCTCACTCATTGATGTCAATATTTCAGGCGAGAATTGAAGACATCGAAAAGGAGAGCAATTCTATTCTCGATATTAAAAGAATCCTCAAATCCACACATGAAATTTTAGTTGCACGAGCGAACGCAAACTTCATGTCACTAAAAGTGCGAGAATTGCTGGCTAAGTGCACTGCGGAAAACCAAGAAGTTTTCAAGCAAGACCTTATAAATATGTATAAGACTTGCATAGAATATCTGATCAAGTGGATGAAGCCTTTAGATGATTTCAAAGTCTTTAATTGGTTGATGCTGAAAAAGGGCGAAATGATCGACTTTGATAAGATTGCTGTATCAATCCATTATCTGAATGGAAAAGGAGTACATATCGATGATGTCAAATTATTCGATGAAATTGTAGCTCTGAATAGTTTTTTAACAAAACAAGAAGAAGCATTTTTTGACGTAATGCTTCATACGTTGTGGGCAACCATTTTGAAAACAATAGGTATTTCACGATTACCAGAGATAATGCGTATTTGTCAATATGTATTTGCAATTACAGCCCAGAATGTAAACATAGAAAGAGTTTTTTCTATCATGGGGGCTCAATGGTCGAATGAAAGAAACCGACTAACGGTGTCTTCCGTTCGAGCAATACTTTTAATGCAATATAATTTAAAGAGCTTAATATGTGGGGCATTTTATAATTTCATAATTAAAGAAAAAACCTTACTTAAGAATGTATCTTCACATATTAAGTATAATAAAACTGATTGAGTACCTATTTGAATAATTATGTACTGATTTTAATTGTTCAGTTATTTTTACCAAAGAATGATTATTTTAAGTTTTTATTAAAGAAATCTTTAAAACGTAAGCTGTATTTTATTGAAAATTCAAAAATCCTGTGATTTCATGAGATTTCCAAAATCCGGCCGCAATCCTGAGAAGAGTCCAAAAATCCTGAGATCTCAGGACAAATCCTGAGATATGGTAACCCTACTCGCGAGCAGTACGAAATTCTAAAGCTTTAACAAATTTGGGCTGCACATGGCACATATGTACTGAAAATGGGTTACTAAACAACTGACGTCAATTCTAAACGACTACGAACACTTATGCATTGTACAAAAGATTGTAAGTATAGAAATACTTAAATGGCTTACTAACACGTAAAATTAATTCCAGATGTTTGAATGCTTTGTTAAGCATTTTATCGTTATGAGGAACAAAAGCTTAGGCGTCACACCTAGATCCAGAATCTCGTCAACTCATGACAATACAAAAAAAAAGAGTTTTTGCATCGAGATGAAAGGGATATTAAATTTTCGTCGTTACCTTTAGGTTCTTTTCCCTATTATTTCTCCAAAGGACTCGACGATAGTAATGAAAATAACGCCACGAAACTATTTACATACCTTTGTTACATACAATTTTTTAAATTCAATTAGATAGGAAGTTGAGTTATTTAAAGTATAAAGACTGTCCAAATGAGTTGT